TACAGGAATTTTTTCCTCAGAATGAAGGTGGTGAAGCTATTGCTTCATGCTGATTACACAGATCTGGGGGAAAATACACAAAGGTTCAAATAGTGTAGTGCTATCCCCACAGGAGCTGCTTGGTAGATTGGGTTCTTTGTTCTTCTGGTTCAACTCTCAGAACCACCTAAGCCCAACTGATACAACACTAGGTTAAGCAAATAGATACTGCCCTGCTATTGGGAGCGCTAATATATTGTAGATACCCTGCAGACAACAACATTTCAGTATCAAAAAGCACACTGGCTAATGGTAAATGAACCTAATATATGTACATAAATGAGTAAATAAAGGATTAGATCAATCACAGTTGATCACTAGGCTATAGAAGCATGAAACAGAGTATATGCAGCTAAATTAGAGTAAACCTGGCAATCCACAAAATCAGCAATAAGTAATGGCATTAGAAAACAGTAACTGCAATGATACGCCATATTGTGAAAACTCCTCTGTAAACAGTAGGCTATAACCACTGTAGAGCTCACTCTATATGAATAGCAGTGATAAAATATAAGACTTCCTAAAGAGGTACCTCTTACTAAGGACAATAGGCAAAGTTCTTGTATAGCAGCTATCTGAGTGAGCAGTCTTTAGCCCTAGTTATTCAGCTGACTGGCGTTGGGGCCCAGTCTTTACGGCGGTGCATATCAGTACAGTTGCAGTAAATCCGCATGCAGTAAATAATGCTACTAGTTAAATGACCAGTCCCTATGTGCTCAAACTTTGCTAACAACAACAGGTTAATGGCACCAATATTCTCATATCAGTATCAGAAATACAATAGCAGGGGTCCCACTGTTCAGATGTCAGTTGTTTGGATCTACCTGGAGTGATTGGTCCTTGACACATTGGTCCTTGACACACAGCCCCTGTCTCAGTCATAGATTTGTAGCAGGTCGGTGTGTGCACAGGAGCAGTGATGTGCACACCTCAGTCTCCTTGCTGCACAGAGTTGCTCTGTGTTCAGCCTGAGAAAATACAACTTTCCCTCTTCTTATACCAATGGTCCATAGACTTCCATAGTAAAGTTTCTTTCCAAAACTTCATCCCCATGATTCTCTTGAGTCGTTTGAGCTCCTCCTGCTTATCAGCTCCCTCTGGTGGATGGAGGTGAGGTGGTGTTAACCTGTTCATCTGAAGTCCATTGGGAGACACAGAAAGCACTGCAGCACAGTGTCCTAAATCGCTCTCTGTCTCTAGCCAAGCATCTGGCTACAGTACGAATACACATGGTTCTTAGATTCAGACAATATTTTCATAGCCCAGATTTCAGCTTAAGGCCTTTTGCACAGGGCAGGGCAGAGAAATAAACTTGAATGTCATGCAGCCCCAGTCCGCCCTATGCATGAGGCCTCAAAGCATATCTAAAACCAAAAATAAAAATGTTATAGATAGCAGTTTGCTGACCCCTCAATGACTTGGCTGCATTAGTTTTCATTTTTAAACTAAAAACATATTCAGCAAGTATGATAAAATACATATTAATCTTGCCACAAATGCAATGTTTTTGTCACTTTCTGTGAGATGAAAAAAAAAAACATCCTATATTTCGTTTGTAAACTACTAGCTCTGTCAATCCACTATGTAATGAAGACAGACAAAGGCAAACATGTTTAAAGTCCAATCTAGTGTGACAGCCATTGTACCCTTCATAGATACAGTGGGGGAGTGAACTTAGCCATTAAGGGACTACATATGTCATCTGAAGGTGAAAATAAAGTGAAAAATGCATGCTAACTCCAGTAATAGCTGCATGTAATTTCTCACGGTGGGTGGCTGATGATATCAACAGTGGACAATGCTTGCATAGCACATGTTTCAATGACCGTTGTAATTCTCCATTCGAAACCCATGTGACAGGAGAATAATGCAGAAGCACAACTATGAAACAGGGACATAACCCTATAACAGGAAGCAGAATAACAAGGACCTTCATGACAGGATCAACAAATATTATTTTAATTAAATTGCATTAACATGTTGTAGAGGGTAGGGGCACAGAAGTGCCTGGTGTAATTCCCCAAATTGGCAACTGGATGTCAACATAATGTAGTAACGAAGAGTAGACAGTGTAGGTAGACAGTGTAGGTGACAAGGTAGCTGCTAGTGGTCCTCAAGGTAAGTAAGTGGGCTGTACTAAAGAGGGTAGTGTTAGCCCTGCTCTTACCAGTGTGGGGCATCTTGTGTAAGACGGTTTTTGTTGGGCGAAGTTGGCTTGCGGCGTTCGCCATGGAAAGCAGTGCAAGGACCAAGGCATGTGAAGATGTAATCTATGAGACTATAGTTTCTAGGAGATTCCTCTTAGGGGGGAAGCAAGAAAGGTTAGGTGCAGGACCAATGGTACTACTCACTTCCCCTAAAAATTTGGGCTGGCAAACCCCTAAAGGTATGGGCTGCTCCTTGACTTTACTCTCATCTCCTCTGTTCTCAATCTGTTTGCAACCCAAAAATGTGCCATCACCATTTGTAATGACCTGGAAGGATATATGTAAACAAATTGTGAATAAAAAGGCTTTGTTGTGTGAACCCTTCTTTATTTCTCCTAACCTCAAGATGGGAATGTCTCCTGGCATTGAACAGGTGCTGGGTGAAGCTGAAATCGAGGTCCGTTGCCTTAAGTCCTGAGGAAGGTAAGGAACAGGCTACTGGGTGGTGCTGATATGAATAGATTGGGGGGGCCTTCTGAGGGTACTTCTGTCCCGGGACTCAGGGGACATATCCCTACCCATAACACTTCAGCAAAGCCAAAGAGACCAATCTAGGCAGGACAGAAAGTGGTACACAGAAGCAGAAGTACAGGTGCCACCAAACAACATGGCTGTACACGTGGAGGAACTCCAGTCCAGCATAAGGCTAGACTGTTATACAATTGTAGCTTTTCTTGAATTCTAGTAAATTGGCTTACATTTGCTTTAAACTACTTGGAAAAAGATCTGGTTTTTTTTTTGCTAGACAATGCTCATATTAGTTTGATTAATAACTTCATGTTTAAAGAAGAATTGAATCCTGAGATAACCAATTAGGTAATGCAAGCAGATGTACATTGAAAGAAAAATGACTTTATTCCAGAATGTAAATTCCAACCCTTTAGCAATTAGTAGTAAATCAGACTTAGATTATCACACATATTCACATTGCTCACTATAAATAATAATATTACGAACAATGACTGAATAGACTAAAATTCAACAGGATGAATATCCATATAATTATATCATCAAAACATCCTCAGTTCATTGAAAGTGACCACACTCATAAATACTTAAAAGTCACGAATGAATAAATAAAAAGTAAATATAATCATGCACACACAAGGATTTTGAAACTCAATAGCAGATTGTAATCATCAAAAACAAATCATCCTCTAAGCCACCATGATTATAACGTAAACTTGAATGACCCATGTAATGCATCAGAATAATTAGCACGAAGACCACATGAAACATACTGTAACTTATATATACTGTAGATACTAAAACTTATATATACTGTAGATACTAAAAAGCACTAAGCTCTTGTTCACACCGAATGCGGCTTTAAAATCGCTGTACTTCATCGCGATTTCAAAGCAGCTGATCACTGCGACTTTATGGACGGCTTTCCAGAATCTGTGTGACTTCATGCACTGATGTCAGTGCAAATCGCACTTGAAATTTACTACCACTTTAAGGTCTAACACTAGCCCAAAAAAGAGTTAAAGTATAACTAAAGGCAAAACTTTTCCTTAGTTTTGGATAGAGTGGAGATGGATTAGAACCCCTGTCAGTTTTTATTGCTGTTTGTGTTCCTGTTGGGGAGATTCACTCTCTCTATTTGTCCATTTACCATTATCATTGAAAGTGAAATTAAAAGAGAATTCCAAATTTTGGGATATCCCCCCGAAAAATAATAGAGAAGAATTCTTCCAATGGTGACACTAGTTCTGGTGACTTGGGGGTCCCCAAAGAATTTCCCTAATTTGCAGGGATTTCCTCTAACTTCCTCTTCGACTATGAGACAGGAAGTCAAGGGAAATATCTTCAATGGGACAGATGGCCAAAACAACTCTAACGGGTTATAACCCTCCATTACTCTATCCAAAAAAAAAAATTTTGCCTATAGTTCTACTTTAAAGAGTGTCTGAGCTCAGGAACAGCAGTCCCTAATTGTGGTGGCTGTATTAGTCTTCTTTTTTTGCAGGCTATGTTACCTTTATTTACACACCGTACCTGAATGATGAACAGAGTTGTCACCCTAGGACAGAACTACAGCTCACACCGACATTATCTCTGCTCTATTACATGGAGGGGTTCTGTAGTCCACAGGGAGGTCTAGGAACAATACTAACTGATAACAGTCAGCAGAAAAGAAGATTTCTGGCAGAATCGACAGGTATATTGTTGCACCTATCAAACAGTGATAACAAAACAAAATAATTTTTTTTTTTTTAACAGACCAAAAGGGAGCAAACTAGAAAAGTTTATTTTCCTGATTAACATTCGCTTTAAATTTTTTGTCTGTTTTTTACTTTGCGTATTTTAAGGTTACTTTGCAGTAAAGCAAGAAGCATTAAAAAACCTCTGTAGTGTATTAGTGTGCTTTTCTAAACAAAATGCTCTACATGCAAACTACTTACAATTTTAGGAAAAGAATACACCCCAACACATACACATATCACAAAATATGCATTCAATATACACATGCACACGCAATCTATCCTTCCTAACAAATGAGCATGGGAAATGTATGCAATAAGAAAAGAAACACACTAAAAGGTACTTAAAATGTTACTAAACCCAGGACCCTGCATTCACTATATCTGGTCTCCCACAGTACACAGAACATGGAAATGCAATTATTTTAGTAAATATAAACGGCTAAATACCTTTTCTCATCAGCAGTTAGAGCAGTCTTTTGACTTCAGCAGAGCACTGGTTAAAGTGGTAGTAGGAGTTTTCATTCTCCTGTAGGAGAATGCAGGACCCCTGACCCTCTGTCTGGACAGTGCTGATTGGCCCTGTGCTGATCACATGCACTCTCCCAAGAAAAAAAAAACCTCTCTAGAAATACACACCAACTTGAGCATGTGCATGTGACTACTGGTTCAGTCTATCTTATCAGGTGGACATTTGAACAAGAGGAGGGGCAGAGAAAACAGGACCAAACAGCCTTTTTACACAATGCAGAGGATAAACCCCTTAGGTCCCACAGTCAGTATAAAAAGCATACTTTACTGCATATACAGACTGATTGTACTGTTGTGGGTTTAGTAACACTTTAACTTGGGTTGTAGATTTAGTGTCATCCCCAGATAAAGTTCCTAATATTTTAGTCTTTTTTATGATGGAGTCATATTCCTTCTATGCAGGATCTCTTCCAGGTTGCTGCTTGTTTCCTCCAAAACGACTTCTCTTTGTCTGCAGCACATGGCTTACGTTCAAGTCCTCTCTACTTCCTGCCAACATTACTTAGTGTTCCATGAGCTCCATGAAAGTATATGGGTTAATTAGCATACGAATAGAGGAAGCCCAGCTCCGGAAACTAAAATTGTTATTCCATATATTTATGCTATAAAATCACTAAAATAGCTACAACAACACAGTCTGTGACCCCCATTAGCAAGATTTTTCTACACTTCCAATTGCTTGGACAATAGGAAGGGGTGCAGCTCTCACTGGAAAGGAAGGCAAGGACAGCAATATAACCATGGCCAGATGTTCAAATTCTTCTCACTTTACTAAAAAATATTGCTGTGTCCTCATTGAAATGATTTAGCATCATTATTTCTGGTCTTGACAGTTACATTTTGGCATAGGCATTAACTCTTCACAGCTCTATCCAAACCGACTTTTGCTGGATTTTGGCTTTAAGGGGGGCATCAGACCAGTAGGCACCACCAGTGAGGGGACAAAGTGTTTGGTCGAAACCCAAGACTTCCAAGCAAATGGTTGATTTTGTTTGTATTTCTTCTTATCACCGCCAGCACAAGCTTGGATTAAGGAGGATTTTTAAGACCCTAAACCATGTCGGCTCTACCTACTGACTTTTTATCAAGATGAATCATCTTTACTGCACCATTTATAGTATTGTGGCGTTCTCACCCTTCACACTTTCATTTACAAAAATGGATGATGAAATGAGCTCCTGCAAGTCAATGTCTAATGGGAATGTCTAATGGGAATGCAGACCATGGGCATACCTACAGACATAGCAGTCCAGAAATAATATTCTAACTCACTAGAGGACTTTCCTCTGAGATTGAGATGGAAGAACTGTAGGCCCCAAATGGAAATGCAATGGAGCCCCATCTGCCGTAGTTATGGCTTTGATGCAGGCTCTCTCGAAAAAGCAGCTGAAACCCTTGACTGTCATCCCTTACTGGTCCAGAAGCTGCAATTTGCTTATAAATGTTTGAAACCGTACCCTGTGAACACCATTTGGAGGGAGGTTGCATCCTTTTTTTCGGAGACAGAATAATTGTGTTGACTGGGCTCCTCTACTCCCCTCAAGCCTGGAGGACAGTGAACTCTGTGAACAGATGGGAAAAAATATACTGCAAACCTTCTTTGCCTAACTACACATCAATTTAGATGTATTTGAAATTCTCAGTCCATTTAAAACCAAGTTTCTAATAAAATCCTCATGATAGTGTTGCTTCAGAATGGCACAGGTCTGATGGTGTCTTAGAGATCCAAAGGCCCTGTAATAATTCTTCTATGGGCCTGGTCTCCCTGAAAACAGAAATAGGGGGATTTTGCTTTGGGGAAAATACATTTTTAACTTCCTACTTGAATTCAAAATGTGTCTTTTCTCCTGTGAGCAATAAATTGTTTTCTATTAAGTGTTCCACTGTTATCAGGCACAGAGGGATTTTATGGAGGGGCCTCTGTATTGAGCAGAGATTTCAGCATGTTCTTTAAATATGATGAATAGCTCTGCTGATTGTACTTGCTGACTAATAAATGAAAATTATGCCCCATGAGATGTAGACTTTACTAAATATTTCAAAGCTGCCTTAATTTTTTCTTTACAAGCGCTATTTTCGATTAATTCAAATGCTTGTGTGGCTCTGCTTAAATTGATGGTCAACCAGGCTATGTCCTGTAATGGAATTGGACCCGTGTTTTTCTTTGCCTCCAGGTATATTGAAAATTGTGAGGATCCCATGTATACTGTAATGTTTGATAAAACCAGATGATGAAAAAGTGCAAAGAAGATGGTTTATATTACTCATGTGTTTTTTGTTTGTGTTTTTTCCTCAATGGTATTAAGGTCAGGAGACTGTGATGGCCATGCCAGAACCTTCATCTTTTTCTGTTGTAACCACTGGATGGTCAATATGGCCTTGTACTTAGGGTCATTTTCATGCTGGAAAGTCCAAGAGTGTCCCATACGCAGCTTTCAAATTTTCACAAGATTACCTGTGCCTTTAGAGTTCACACACCCCCAAAACAGCAGTGAGCCACCATCATGCTTCACAGTGGGGATGGAATTTTTTTATAGACCTTGTTGACACCTCTTCAAACATAGTGCTTATGGTTGTGACAATAAAGCTCTAGTTTGGTCTTGGTACTCCAGATTACAGTGTGCCAGAAGCTGTGAGGCATGTCAAGGTTTTGTCGGGCATATTGTAACCAGGATTTTTTGTGGAATTAGTGCAGTAAGGGCTGCTTCTGGTAACTCGACCATGCAACTCATTTTTGTTCAAGTATCATCGTACTGTACTCCTTGAAACAACCACACCATCCAGAGTAGCCTGTAGTTTTTCCAGAGTAGCCTGTATTTCTCCTGAGGTTACCTGTGGCTTTTTCTTTGTCTCCCGAACAATTCTTTTGGCAGTTGTGGCTGCAATCTTTCTCTCTACCTGACCTTGGCTTGATATCAAGAGATCCCTAAGTTTTCCACTTTCTAATAAGTGATTGAACAGTAATGACTGGCATATTCGAGGCTTTGGATATCTTTTTATGTATTTTTCCGTCTTTCCAAAGTAAGTTCTTTAACCTTGTTATGCAGGTATTTTGACAGTTCTATTCTGTTCCCCATGGCTCAGTATCTAGCCTACTCAGAACATTAATGTGAGAGCTTACAAACTCAATGACTATATATACACAGACACTAATTGCAATTTAATAAGCCACAGATGTGGGAAATAAACCTTTAATTGCATTTAACCTGTGTGTGTCACCTTGTGTGTCTGTACCAAGGCCAAACATTCCAGGGTATATCAATGTTAGATCAGTGCCATTTGGGTGATTTCTCTTATCATTATAATTTAAAAAGGAGCCAAACAACTATGTGATAATAAATGGCTTCATATGATCACTATCCTTAAATAAAAAACAGCTTTTTGGCATGATCAGTAATATTTTCAATATAAAGGCCAAAAATGTAATGATTTCTGACAATGGATACAGACTTTTGAGTGCAACTGTAGATACACATATAGTGAGGAACAGAAGTATTTGAACACCCTGCGATTTTGCAAGTTCTCCCACTAAGAAATCATGGAGGGGTCTGAAATTCACATTGTAGGTGCATTCCCACTCTGAGGGACAGAATAAAAAAAAACAAATTCAGAAATCAAATTGTATGATTTTTAAAGAATTTATTTGTCTTGCACTGCTGAACATAAGTATTTGAACACCTGAGAAAATCAGTGTTAATATTTGGTACAGAAGCCTTTGTTTGCAATTACAGAGGTCAAACGTTTCCTGTAGTTCTTGACCAGGTTTGCACACACTGCAACAGGGATTTTGGCCCACTCCTCCACACAGATCTCCTCTAGATCTGTCAGATTTTGGGGCTGTCGCTGAGCAACACAGAGTTTCAGCTCTCTCCAAAGATGTTCTATTGGATTTAGGTCTGGAGACTGGCTAGGTCACTCCAGAACCTTGATATGCTTCTTACGGAGCCACTCCTTGGTTATCCTGGCTGTGTGCTTCGGGTCGTGGTCATGTAGGAAGACCCAGCCACGACCCATCTTCAATGCTCTGACTGAGGGAAGGAGGTTGTTGCTCAAAATCTCACAATAAATGGCTCCATTCATCCTCTCCTTAATACAGTGCAGTCGTCCTGTCCCCTTCGCAGAAAAGCACCCCCAAATCATGATGTTACCACCCCCATGCTTCACAGTAGGGATGGTGTTCTTGGGATGCAACTCATCCTAATTTTTCCTCCAAACACGACGAGTGAAGTTTAGACCAAAAAGTTCTACTTTGGTCTCATCTGACCACATGACTTTCTCCCATACCTCCTGTGGATCATCCACATTGTCATTGGCAAATTTCAGACGGGCCTGGACATGTGATGACTTGAGCAGGGGAACCTTCCGTGCAATGCATGATTTGAAACCATGATGGCGTAGTGTTCTACCGACAGTGATCTTCGAAACTGTTTTCCCAGCTCTCTTCATGTCATTGACCAGCTCCTCCCTTGTAGTTCTGGGCTGATTCCTCACCTTTCTTATCATCAGTGATACCCCACGAGGTGAGATCTTGCATGGAGCCCAGTCTGGGGGAGACTGACAGTCGTCTTTAGCCTCTTCCATTTTCTAACAATTGCTCCAACAGTTGATCTATTTTCACCAAGCTGCTTGGCAATTGCCCCACAGCCCTTTCCAGCCTTGTGGAGGTCCACAATTTTGTCTCTGGTGTCTTTTGACAGCTCTTTGGTCTTGCCCATGGTAGTCGTTGGCGTCTGACTGACTGTGAGGTGGACAGGTGTCTTTAAAGAGCTCAGACATGTGCTATTAAGTTAGATTAATGAGTGGAGTAGAGGTGAACTTTTTAAAGGCACAATAACAGGTCTTTGAGAGCCAGAATTCTTGCTGTTTCTTAGGTGTTCAAATACTTATGTTCAGCAGTGCAAGACAAATAAATTCTTAAAAAATTATACAATGTGATTTCCTGAATTTTTTTTTTAATTCTGTCTCTCAGAGTGGGAATGCACCTACAATGTGAATTTCAGACCCCTCCATGATTTCTAAGTGGGAGAACTTGCAAAATCGCAGGGTGTTCAAATACTTCTGTTCCTCACTGTATACTGGTTATCTTGCGCACTCGTGTAGGTAGCACGGAGGCAGCCCAGAAAATTTGATCGGGCTGCCAATGTACCACAAGGGAATTAAAATTGCACCTGCAGAAATGTTCCTAACACAGCACAACACGCAATAGTGTGTTGCAAAGTGTTGTAATGCAGGTACATTGTGGAGGTGTCTTTGGGTGCCAGTAAAAAAAAAAATGGCGCCACAATGCATCAAGTGTGCTGTGCATTACAGCACAAAGATCATGGGGCAAAATTGAGAATTCTGATTCTGTAAAATTTTGCTGATGGGAAAAAACCAGTAATGTATTTTGTGTCTGTGTGCATGTTATTTAGATTGTTTTCTGTGGCTATTACAGGTGGTAGAGCAATGAGTGTGAAAGCCAGAAATGTGTGCCCGTACGTTGAGCAGCTGCACTCCCACCAGTAGGTTACCAATTACTGGCGCTATATAAATTATAATAATAATAATGTATAATAATAATAATGTATAATAATAATAATAACAATAATAATAATACTGTATAATAATAATAATATAATAATAATAATACTAATAATACTGTATAATAATAATAATAATAATAAATACTGTATATTAATAATAATACTGTATATTATTAATAATAATAATAATACTGTATAATAATAATAATAATAATGAATAATAATAATAATAATAATAATACTGAATAATATTATTAATAATAATAATAATAATAATAATAATAATAATAATAATAATAAATACTGTATAATAATAATATAATACTGAATAATAATAATAATAATACTGAATATTAATTATTAATAATAATAAAAAATAAATAATACTGTATAATAATAATAATAATACTGAATAATAATAATAATAATACTGGATGGCATCTACACTACCTGCAGTAAAATCATTTGTCTGAATGTTTCTTGTGAAAAGAGGGCACAGATCGTTTCAACGGTTTGGCAGGGGCTGAGTTCTGGTGCAGAGGCGTAACATATTGTTTGATGTCGGTCTTTACTTCTATACTATTTTCTAGACTATTAAACAGTGAATGAAGACAGCCTCTTAATTCCACCTGGCTACTTGTCATAGTAAATTCCTGCCATTGAACTGCCAGCCTCACATCTGCACCTCCGTTGATTGCATTGTGAAATTTCCTTTTCTTGTGTGTGCTAGCAGGAGGCTAAGTATTCCATAATATATTCTGCAGCAATGTTTTGGCCTGTGTTTCCCTGCCAGGAACACTGCTAACATGGAAAATAAAGCTGCCGGCGATGGGAGAACACGGAAGACCCACTACAATGTGCACTGTGTAGCGTGCCTGAAGAAGACACTGGAAGCACTGTCGCCCACGTGAAACGGTAATTCCGACTAAAAGAAAAAAGGGTGATTACAAAAATGAATTTTTGGCAATGAGCTGGACTGTGTCTTAAACCTATGCAGCTCTATATGAATACAAACAAATGATAATACCCTACGGGTTCCACCAAGTAACTATTGTATCTTAAAAAAACACGATACATGATTACAATTGTGAAGCTAAAATCCAAAATGTGTTATAGAAAGAAGCATGTCGAATTCCTCTTCAATCTATAACTGCAGTACTACTTTTCCACCACTAGATCGCCTCAGTCTTCCATGTTGATTGACAGCCAGCTTCATTCAACCCATTTCTTCTAAGCCCAGACTGTCATGGATCTGCCCTCAGCCTGTGATTGGACCATTAAAGTGTTACTAAACTCAGGACCCCGCATTGACTATATCTAGTCCCCCACAGTACACAGAACATGCAATTATTTTGGTAAATATAAACTGCTAAATACCTTTTCTCATCAACAGCTAGAGCAGCCCTCATTCAGTGGTCAGCAGATCACTGGTTACAGTTTGTAGGAGGAGTTTTCATTCTGCTCTAGGAGGATGCAGAACCCCTAATCTCTGTCTAACCGTATTGGTTGGCCCTGTGCTGATCCCAGGGAAAAACAAACGCTCTAGCAATACACACCAACCTGAGCATGTACAGAGTGTCTCCACACCATGTTTTATCAGGAGATAAGAGGGGAACACTGGAAGAAGGGGAGGATCAGATAAGTCAGGATCAAACAGCCTTTTTCCACAATGCAGAGGATTAACCCCTTAGGTTCCACAGTGAGTATAACAAGCATGCTTTACTGCATATACAGACTGATTTTACTGTTGTGGGTTTAGTAACACTTTAAAGAGAAGCAGCACAGCAGGAAAAATATCTCTCTGCCACTTGTCTTTCTCCTACTATCAGCATACAGAGGAATCTGGCATTGGGTGGTCCTGCCTGCTCAACAAAAGTCAAATATTCAATCTCTACTTTTTTTGAAGGAGCCAGACTGAAAAGTGTCAGCCAAACAGCGCCTGTGCCAATCAGCTGCAGGCAGTTTTTTGGATATTCTGACAGCTATTCTGCAGCTGCCAGAATACAATAGCCTGGGAGGGGGATTGCCCATTTACACTGCTTATGTGGATGGAGGAATTTGTTTGATTTTTTTTGTTCTTTTGTTTAACTTGCTCATAGGCTATATAAAAGAAATCTATTAGTGTGTGGCTAGCTTTAGTTGCATTAAGCTGCTTTAAGGTTTTCGTTTTATTATTTCATTCCTATTGACTCGTATTGGGGGGTAGCTGTTCTGATTAGACATGTGCAGAACGTAAACATTTGTTTTGTTTCGGATCAATTCATTAGGTTACTAACTTAATTTTGTTTCATTCGTAGCAAAATTTGTTTCATTTCATGTATTTTCGACCGGATTCGAATTTTCCAATGGATTTGAAGTATTCAAATCTAATTCAAATCGAAAATTCCGAATTAATCCAAATTCATTGTGAAGAACAGCTGGTTCTATTCTATTTGAATTTCCAAAGATGGTTATATTATTTCTATTTTATTCTATTCTAATTTATTCTATTTTTTTTCTATTGTTTTCTATTCTTTTCTATTCTATTCTTTGGGCGGAGTCTCCCTATGATGTCATCACACTGTCCACCATCTTGGAAGCATTTTTTTTTACTGCTTTAATTTCTTTGTTAACCTGTAAGTAGGATTTTATTTGCGCAAATAAAGGTACATTGTTCGTATTGCACTATAAGAAGCATGCTTTATTTTCCATGACACTATGCTGACACCGCAATGGGGATGGCTCATTGATGTATGCGGATTCTGGGTCCTGACATGATTTGAGAGATCTTGGGTCCTGACAGGTTATAGAAGTCTGGATGATAATTCATCGACACAAAGCTGATAATGACCCACTACAGTTAAGGGGTCTTCTCATCTGGTAAGCCTCCATTTATTCACATGGTGGTGGATTGCACATGATTGGTGATTAATTGGATGAAAGAGAATTTATATCGTTAACACTATATTCAAGGAACGCAATATCCTTCTGGTAAATTATTGTGGAGGTCATCATTCACATGGACTCTATTGCCCTGTATATGGACTATACTGTATACCTTACTGTCTTTATACACCAATTTGTTCACTCACTATGTTTATGGTTGTTTTCACATTTATTATGTGTATTTCATGTATTGATTCTTTATACATAGCACAATCTTTATATGTTTTTTTTATTTGTTTAAATTAAGATAGAATATCCTCTCAATGTGTTTTCAGCTTTGTACATTGTAAAAGTGGGGGATTTTCGCAGTTAAATTTGTTTGTGTTATTCTACTCTTTTATTTAATTTTCTATGCTTTTATTTTCTAGTCTATTATTTTCTATTCTCTTCCTTTCTATTGTATTCCTTTATTTTTTATTCTATTTTATTCTATTCTGTTACGGATTTCTCTATTCTATTCTTTTCTATCCCTTTTTCTTGTCTTCCCCCCAGCCCGGACACCACCCCCCATTGACTTCTCCATCACATCCAACAACGCCACCATCAAACCCGCCCCACAGGCTAGAGTACTTGGTCTCATTCTGGACTCCAACCTATCCTTCCAGCCCCAAGTCCAATCTTTAACTAACTCATGCAGACTCCACCTCCGCAACATCGCCAAAATCCGCACGTTCCTAACCCCAGAAACCACTAAACAACTCATCCACTCCCTCATCATATCACGACTCGACTACTGCAACTCCCTAATCACTGGCCTGCCTCGCCGCTGGCTATCCCCGCTTCAGTCGATCCTGAATACGGCTGCCAGACTCATTCACCTTTCCAACCACTCCGTTTCCGCCACCCCCCTCTGCCAATTCCTCCACTGGCTTCCGATTGCGCAACGGATCAAATTTAAAATCCTAACACTGACGTACAAAGCTGTCCACCATACTGCCCCGAACTACATCACTGACCTAATATCCAAGTACAGCCCAGCACGCACACTCCGCTCCTCACAAGACCTCCTTCTCTCTAGTTCCCTGGTCTCCTCCTCCCATGCCCGCCTCCAGGACTTCTCCAGGGTGTCACCCATCCTCTGGAACTCCCTGCCCCAACCCATCAGATTATCACCTACTCTCCTCTCCTTTAGGCGAACCCTGAAAACCCATCTCTTCAGGGAAGCCTACCCCACCCCCTGCTAACTTGCCGACCTCCTCCACTCTTCCTACCACTCCATCCCCCACAGCTATCTCCTCCTGTGCCACCACCCCCTCCCTCCTAGATTGTAAGCTGGAAAGAGCAGGGCCCTCGATCCCCTCATGTTTTGCATTGTATTGGTATTGTTTTGTCACATGTTCTGTCCCCCTTTGTAATGTACAGCGCTGAGCGAACTATTGGCGCTTTATAAATACTGTATAATAATAATAATAATATCCCATTCTGTTTTATTATATTCTATCCCTTTCAAAATTTGAATTTTGGAAGGTGGCTATATTCTAACACTAATACACATAGTCTTTGAAGGAAATCAGCAATAGTCGGCAATATGTTTATATTTCCAACTTGTTTTTAGAATTTGAATTTGTCTTCAAATTTGATTGATATTTAAATTTTGGACGAAATATCAAATCTCCGAATAACAAAAATGTTGTCAGAATTTTGATTCAGAACGAAAGGAACCACACATATCTAGATCTGATGCCAACAGAAGCCCACATACACAGGCCCTGACTCTGCTGCCCTACACAGCCTTGCCCTTATCTCCACCACAAACCCAACACTATATTCTTGCCTGTGCAGTGTGACTGAAAGGTATAGGAAGTTGGGTGGGAAGAGTTAAGGTGGATTCTAATAGCGAAAAACAGAAAAACATTGACCATAACAATATCCTCTAGCAATCTTTAGAGAGTTTTTTTTTAATATATTTTACCACACATCTCTTTTAAAGACCTTGAATTTACACAAGCAAAGCGAACATACACCCCAAAGTACAGGCATATCCTTGGATTGATTTAAGAGTTGAGTAAGTGGCTCTTTGTGTTACAGCATTGAGAGTTTGAGTGTATTATTTACAACCAGGGGTGGTCCCAACATTCCTATTGCCTTAGGCATCAATTAAAGTTGTGCCAATCTCATTCATTACACAAAGTTATGTAAGATTTGTATTGTTACATATAATGGCACATTGTAAATCTAGTAAATCTAGCATGAAACCTAATTTAACACACAGGATTTCATCAAATGTGAGCTTTAAGTGTATACTAAATTTTTTTTAAAGGTATGTTATTGTCAAGCATGTATATTTTGAAGGCAGTATAACTCAGGGAATGCAGTATACATGTGGCTTAGTGGTTAGAACGTCTGAATACGTGAATAGGTAGGCGCTGCAATAATTATATGACAAAGATAAAAAATAGAGTGAACTATCAATAACATCAAACAAATGGTATTCCTGGACAAAATATGTTGAATGATGAACATATAATAGTGACAGTCCCATGAAGTTGTAGTCCCATAGACCAAAAATATGTTCTTTCACCACATGCAGACAATAAGTGAATTTCTCACTCACCAGAAAAAGTTGACCCTGGTTAAGGTGGTCAGATATTGCTTTGTTATCATAAATAATGACGACCAGCAACAGGTTCTCCTGGATCAGACTTCCTGGTCTCCTAATAGGAGATGTGGATCCAGGGGATCAAAGATGACTGCCCCCAGTTGGGTGATCACAAGACTGCCATCAGGAGGCTGTGGGAGACGAATGTATGTAAATGCTAGGCCTGCCAACTCATATAAAACCAACAACTCTAAAGTGGGGAACGATCAAGAAGAACATGTGACAATCCACTTCCTTGGGGAGAAGCAACAAAGGACATGAGAACCAAGACACTGCACCTTTTCCAATTTGCAGTTTTTGGCAAGCTGAGTGCTGAGCCGGATGATCTCAGACAAGAAGAGATGAGGGTCGAGAGGAGTACAACGAGGGGGGCGGAAATTAGAACTACTGCTTTGCAGTACTGCAGTCCTTGATTTGAATTCCAACTAGGACACAACCTGCATGGGGTTTGAATGTTCTCTCTCTGTGTTAGCTTGGGTTTCCTCCAGGTACTCTAGTATCCTCCCACACTCCAAAGAGAAGCTGTTAGTTTAATTGGCTCCTGTCTAAATTTGTCCTAATATGTGTATGTATGCATGTGATGTAGAGATCTTGGATTGTAAGCTGCCTGAGGGCAGGGATAGATATGAATGTACAATATATAACGTGTTGTGTAAATTGTTAGCACTATATAAATTATGAAAAAAACAGGTTGCACTAATACAGAAAAAAAAATTTATACAAATAAATATATATAAAATAAAATCATACATAAATCATATAAATTCCAAACAAAAGTCCAAAATGATGTAATACGTGACAAATTAAGGAGTGTTCAACAAATATCACCAGAGTGAATCCGCCACCAAATTAATTGAATGAACTCACCAGAGCAATACGCTGATCACATTATAAATCAGCATACAGCACTTTCTGCTCTGGGAGCAATGGTCTGCAAACTGGTGAGGCAACACTAGGAACTTGATATCTGGTCTCCAGGGAGCAATACTCTGCAGGGAATGTATACCATATGGATCCACTTCAATAATAAACCACCGAATCCTTAGGATGATCAGACCTCCACTCGAAATATAAAGGAATAAAAACTCATGGTGCAGTACTTCATAAAACTTCAGATTTAATAAAACACATTGGACTTACAAGAAACGGTGTCTTAGCCGACACCAGCACAAACAGCGTGATGAATTTCACAAACACGGACCCAGCCTGGCTGGGCATGTGCCGTACCAACGACTTGAGAACG